GCACCCCGCTACTGTCTGGCGTTTGTTCCAGCTGAGCTCCCAATTATCTAAATCAGCCCTTAATTGCACTAATTACATACTCAGCCTAGCATTTGTTCAGCAATTAACCAACTTGATCTAATTGCGCGGGCAAACAGAAAGGCAGGTATGCTTTCCAGATCATTTGCGTTTAAATAGTTTCTAAAGATTTACTTGATTTAAGGAGCAGTCACCTGTAAAACGTCAAGGCCTGTCCCGTCGATTCATTAATTACAGCAAAACCCTTAGGCCTGGGCCATGTTCTGTAATAGCTTAGGTTGCACACTAACTTTAACATTCAAGCTATGTCATGCCATCACCTTTAAGAAGAATGGAGGGGTGCTTCCCCTTTAATATCTCACACTATGGCCAACTTTTTTTGGAGCAAAGACACACCCCCTGTGGTTATATAAAGGCCACTAGAAGATGAGGATTCAATCCATAACCATCTCAGGTGAGCAGATTGTTTACATGCAGAAATTGCTCATGGTTTATTGTAGTTTTTGCTGCTGTTTGGTTTCATGTTACATTTAGTTTAAACTCCTGTCTTTTAACCTGGATTTCCTTTGCAGTTTGAGGGAAGAGGTGCTGTGTTATTTGACCTTTTCCTGAAAAACCACTTCCAAGCGCGGGGAAAGAGGCAATATAATTCTGAACTGCAAGGCCCATTGAAGACTTGTAGAATGCTACAATGCATATATTTCAGCATCTTGCTGACTTTGATCTGTCCTAGGGCTCTTCTTCCTTCCTACTCCCTGGGTGTGTCTTGCCTGAACTTTGATCTTCTTTTAGGTGTGTCCACGAAGATCTGAGGAGCTGGCTGGAGATCCTCGAAGCCCCTGCCTGTCGTGATGGTAAGGGCTTGTGCTCCAGCTCTGGGCTATAGTTGCTCCCTGGGTATGGGGAGCTCTGTCTGTATGTTCACTTGGTGATTAATGCTTCACTATTATAATAAACAGCAAATATTCCAATTATCCTGACCACTGCTTTAAATCAAATTGCAGCTGTACTGCTGGATGTGAAATGTTCAACAGAAGGAATTAAGCATGTATCATGCATTGAGGAAATGCACAGAATTTATGTAGGCTGTGTGTGGCTGAAGGTAAAACCAATGCTATTGTGATCAGAGAATGAATGGGAACCCTGATGCATCTCTTCAATGATGTATTTCCCCCCTGCAGAGGGAGTGCATTTCTGTCCACATAGGCCAAGCAGGTGTGCAGATGGGAAATGCATGCTGGGAGCTCTACTGCCTGGAACATGGAATCACCCCTGATGGGACCATGTGCACTGTGAGCCAGGCTGATCTGGTGGACTCCTCCTTTGGCACCTTCTTCAGCGAGACAGGAGCTGGGAAGCACGTGCCCAGAGCCGCCTTCATAGACCTGGAGCCAACAGTTGTGGGTAATGTGGGGGGGTTTGGTTGAACTTGAAGGGATTTTGCAAATCCAGGAAGAGCTCTCCTGAGAGAGCCCCCTCAGTTGGTTTGCTTTCCTTATAAAAGTTAGGAAGGAATCGGTCTTCTGAGCTCTTGCGTTTGGCTATGACTTTGAGCTGCCCACAAGGAGTTTCTGACTCCAATTTAAAAACTGGCTGGAGGGGCTGAAGATTACAAATGGGTCGATGCTGATGTCTGAAAGCACTAAAGCTCTATGAATTGCAGAACAAATGGGATGATGGATTCTCAAAACTCCCTATCCAGAATCCAGTCTCAAATAGCATTTACATCTGATGCCAATTGCTTATCTGTAAAACTTGACTGTTAAAGTGAGGTCATACAGTAAATACAGGATTTGTTTAAGGAGTTAAATTAATGTCTGCTGAAGGGACTCCATCAGGATATATCTGATTACAATTTAAAATCTGTATGGTTGATTAGGCTCTAGTTGAGGCTCAGTAAGCGTTTTCAAAGGTGGGTAACAATGTTCCTTAAAAATACAGATCCACAACGATGAGCAAATGGGTTGAAATATTGTCTTTGGGGCTCAATGGTGACCGAGACTCTGACTAATGTGGGACTTGAAAACCCTGAATCGTGAGGAAGGAAAGGTCCTCCTGCTTGAACGACCTGGGCCCTGGTCCTCTCTTGGCAGATGAGATCCGACTAGGAAAGTACCGCCAGCTGTACCACCCTGAGCAGCTCATCAGTGGGAAGGAAGATGCTGCCAACAACTACGCCCGAGGACACTACACCATCGGCAAGGAGATCATCGATTCAGTCCTGGACCGCATTCGGAAAATGGCAAGTGCTCTTTCCTGGGTGAAAGATGAGATGTCACTTGGCTG